AACTAGGCATGGTGGAGGCCAAAGGATCAGAAGTTTAAAGGTCATCTTTAATAAATATAGTGAGTTCAAAGTCAGTCTGGAATACATGAGACCCTGGAATACAGTATGTGTTCATTGTTTTGTTTGAGACAATCACTTCCGGCAGCTTAGCCACCACCTCCTCCCTCCTGCAAAACCCCTGCCCATGTCATGCAGAAGTTACCAACAACCCTTTTGGTGGTCTGATAGGAATGGCCCCCACAGATTCATAGATTTGAATGCCTGGTCGTCAGGGAGTGGCACTATTAGATGGTGTGGCCTTGTTAGGGTAGGTGTGGCTTTGTTGGAGGAAGTGTGTCACTGCGGGTGGGCTTTGAGGTTTCAGGTGCTCAAGCCAGGCCCAGTGTCTCTCTCTTCCTGCTGCCTGCCGATCCAGATGTAGAACTCTCTGCTCCTTCTCTAGTACCACGTCTTCCTGCGTGCCACGTTTCCCACCATGACGATAGTGGACGGCACCTCTGAACCCGTAAGCCAGCCCCAGTTAAATGTTTTCCTTTATAAGAGCTGCTGTGGCCATAGTGTCTCTTTACAGCCATAGAAACCTTGACTAAGACAACCCCCATTCTCAAGCACATTTCAATTCTTTCTAATGTCTTCACTGTTGACAGTTGATGATGACACAGTTGCTAACAGCTATTTTTAAGTCTTCAGCTAACATCAGGCAGTTGAGACATCCTCCATCTCCCAAATCACCAAAGTCTGCACCCCAGAGAGGCCAGTCTGTGAATATTTTTTTTTGTTTTTTTTTTTGTTTTTTGTTTTTCGAGACAGGGTTTCTCTGTGTAGCTTTGCGCCTTTCCTAGAACTCACTTGGTAGCCCAGGCTGGCCTCGAACTCACAGAGATCCGCCTGCCTCTGCCTCCCGAGTGCTGGGATTAAAGGCGTGCGCCACCACCGCCCGGCTCAGTCTGTGAATATTAGGACGCTTGGTTTTGCATGGGAAACAGAGGGCCAGGAACTGATAGTCTCAAGATAACTATATGGCATCCAGTGTGGAGACATTTTTCAAGAGGGAGCTACTGTACCTCTTTTAAGCACTGGCCCTCTTCCAACTGTTTCTTTCTCTCCTGGGCCATCTACTGTCCCATTTTCAGACTCTTGGGTTGTCTCTTTTTCTCTCCTGGTTTTTTATCTCTCTTGTTCTATTTCAAACTGTCTCCTCCATTTGCTCACAAAGATGGCCAAGATGTTCTCAATGGTATAACCATGCTTTCAACTTATCAATGGAATCATTCTAGGAAAGGGCCAGGAGACAGAGCCACAGCGGGTCTGGTTGAAGGGAGAGTCATTTGTAGGATCAGTGAGCTTTTACCAAGAGAATGCATGAGACAGTACAACAAAGTACATGTGCAAAGGCCCCAAGACAGGGATCATGTCCTGTGACATCTCTTCCAACCTCAACAGTCTAATGCTGCTGGTTCTTGTCTGCAGTTTATAAACAATGGGAGACAGGGGCTGGAGAGATGGCTCAGCAGTTAATAGCACTGTCTACTCTTCCAGAGGACCTGAGTTCAGTTCCCAGTGTCCCACACAGTGTCTCAACCATCTATAACTACATTTGCAGGGGATCTGAGGCCCTCTCTGATCTCTGTAGGCACCAGGCATGTACACGGTGCACAAACATACATGTAGGCAAAACATTCATACACATAAGAACATTTTTTAAAATGTTTTTTAAAAACTCACTCAGAGGGCAGCTGGGGGGAAGTAGGGGAAAGGCTGTTGCTGGTAAGCTTCCATTGATCAATAGTAACCAGAAATCGACCTCTCCCTAGAGTTGCTCCATAGTATGGACAAGTGAGCCATTGTGTGAACCTCAGTGACTCAGAGGTGCTCATGTCCTGCCTGCCATCTAGCTTGTGTCTACCTACCTTGGCACAAAGTTAACTTTGTGTAGTATCCATCAGAGGGACTGAACTGCTTTGGCCCTCCCATTACACGTGATCCTGTCTTCCCAGGTGCCCCTTGCTATCCTACCTTCCCAGGTGCCCCCTTCTATTCAGGGACAGGCTCAGAAAACACTAGAAGAGACTGGACAGCAGCCTCAGGTGCCACCTCTCATTTCTCCAAGAAAGCCAGAGCCCAGTAGGAGGGTTCTATGGGGTAAAGAAGGAAAAGGGCTGATCCCAAGGCTGGGATGATTTTGCATCAAACTCCTACCTCCTAACCAACCCCTGACGTCCACAAAGCTACTGTCACCAAGAACCCTTAGGTAAGTATAGTGGCCCACACCTGAAGTCCCAGATATTTGAAAAGCTGAAATGGGAGGGAGACCCATTAGTTAGCTGGTCTCTGACTCAGCCAGGACAGGGAGACGGAAAGGGAGGTGCGGGGGAGAGTGAACGATGATATGAATATGAACATCTTTTCTGTTTGCTAAAGAGCACAGAGGGAAAAGAGAGCAGTAGCATACCCTGTACTTGCCAGCCCTTGGGAGTCTCAGGCAGGAGAACCAGGAGTTCAAAGCCAGTCTGGGAAGCATGAGACCTTGTCTAAAACACAAAGAAGCAAGCAAGCAAAACAGGCACAGAGGCCTGAAACCCCAAAGCCAGTTTCCCTTCCTGAAAAAGCTAAATTTGGTGTTTGAGGCTAGGTCTTGGCTCCACGAAGATATGCAAACAACATTTTGTATTTTAGAGCCAAAACTTCTGCCCTAAAACATTCTTTGGCAAAAAAAAAAAAAAAAAATTCTTCAGTTCTTTAAAAGACTGAAGGACAATTACTTTATAAAAAAATGGAGGAGCTGGGCAGTGGTGGCACACGTCTTTGATCCTAGCACTTTGGAGCCAGAGATAGGTGGATCTCTGTGAGTTCAAGGCCAGCCTGGTCTACAAAGCGAGTTCCAGGGCAGACTCAAAAGCTACAGAGAAACCCTGGCGGGAGGGGGGGGCTGGGGGGGGGGTAGGGGGGTGGAAGAGGTGAAATACAGGCAGACCCAGCCTTTTCCCAGCCCCCACCTCTCCCAGCCAAATGGATTCCTTATGGCTAAGAGGAGTACTTCTTGTAGGCAGGAGCTGTGGGCAGATTCCTGTGCCTGCTCCCCAAGCTGTGCTGGAGGCTGGCAGAACTCAGCTAGCTGCACAGAAGGACACAGGAGCAGCCAAGGCTCCCCAGGCCTAGCCCAGGATCATCATCATCATGAGTATACTGAGGACACCACCAGAGAAAAAAGGGGGAGCTGGCAAAGAACCAGTGCTCAGGTAGAGGAAGTGGCCAGTGCGGGATCAGAACCTCCCAACCTGGGAAGAGACAGCTCTAAACACTGATGGTAGGCTTTTCAGACAGCTTGAGGAGTGGAGGCTTGAACCAGATACACTTTTATTTCAATATATACATAAGATATACCCAGGGGTTAGTGACGGTAGGAAGTAAACTCAAACTATTACAGCCAGCCAAAGTTTTGCCCGGATTCAGGACCACAGCTGAGTGTGGTGGTATTGTGTCCCCCAATATATTGTGTACCCTAATAAACTTATCTGGGGTCACAGAACAGAACAGCCACTAGATAGACATAGAGGCCAGAAAATGGTGGCACACACACCTTTAATTCTAGCCTTCTGGAGGCAGAGATCCATTCGGATCTCTGAGTTCAAAGCCACACTGGAAACCAGACATGGTGACACACCCTTTAATCCCAGCACTTGAGGTCTCATGTCTTGCTTGGGAAAGACACATGTCTTTAATCCCAGGAAGTGATGGCAGGAAGCAGAAAGGTATATAAGGCATAAGGACCAGGAACTAGAGGTCTTGTTAAGCTTTTGGTTTTTAGCAGCAGTTCAGCTGAGATCCATTCTGGTGAGGACTCAGAGACCTTCAGTCTGAGAAAACAAGATCAGCTGAGGAACTGGCAAGGTGAGGTTGGATGTGGCTTGTTCTGTTTCTCTCATCTTTCAGTATTCACCCCAACACCTGGCTCCCGGGTTTGTTTTAATTAATAAGACCCTTTAAGATTCATGTCACAGCTGGGTAGCCCAAAACTAGCCCCCACCCCCAATTTCTCTTCATTGCTGTGGGCTAGAGCTCCACCAAAGCACTTCGTTGCAGTTCCTGCTCAAAAATCACTCGCTGCAACTGAACACCTGCAAAATGCAATTTTCACTGATACTGATCCAGAAACACCTTCCTGACTCCTACGGTCCCCATCACCTGGGATCTCTCCAATTTGTCAGATCCCACAAAGACCCACAGCAACTCTTCGGTCCTTCATTCAGCACACGGGCACATCTAGAGTTCAACATTTGGGCTTCTAACTGGGGCCAGAGTTTCATAAAACAGGAGAAAAGGGCACCCTCTTGCAGACACCTTTTCTAACCTTCCCCCTAACTCTTTTCACACCCCCAAACGGACACACTGAAATGTCCTAGGCAGGAGAAGCCGCTAGAAGGATGCTCATAGAAGGGTTTGTGAGGTGTTGAATATGAAAGACCGGGCGGCAGAAACCGGGAAGGATTTACATTCTAGAGAGGCTTCACCACTAACTCCCTGTGCAAGTAGGCGTCTATTTCCACACCACTCTTAAGAGCCTCATGCACAAATTAACCAACATGAACTTTACGCTATTTCGGGGACCTGGGCCATTGACTCTTGGGTCATCATCACTCCATGATTCCAAAGACCAAAACCCTAGTTTACCCTATTGACTCTCACGCTAGCTTTTATTTTTTTGTTTTTATTTTTTCCTTTTTTGCGTGTTAATTAGCGTGAGATTCTCTGGCGCAGAGCAAAGTACAGCGCCCAGACTCCATGACCTGTCCTGTCCCTTTCTTTTCCGTTTCTCCTCGCGCTGCACCTGGCGCGGAAAGAGTACGGAAAGCGTTAGCTCAAGGAGGGGTTCTGTGCCTAGGCTCACATCTGCACTGCCCGCCAGTCGGCCTTCTGGCGTCCAGGCGGCTGAAAGTGCTGCCTTGCCCACGCCGTGCTCCCCACGCCCGCCCACCCCAGCCCCCGGCGCCCGCCGTCACCTGCAGCCGGAAGCGCTGCACCGCCTTATCCATGGTCTCCAGGCCCGCTCGCTGCCTCCGCCGCGCCCTGGCCGCCGCGCCCCGGGCCGTCCTGCGCCCGGTCCATCGCAGGACCACCGCCGCCGACAACAAGCAGCAAACTAGGGCAACCCCGGAGACACCGGACAGTGCGGTCCACACTTGGCGCAGCACCATAGTCTCCTGCAGCCGGCTGCTACTGGAGTGGAATCAGCACGCGCAAACCCAACAGCTCCGCTGCAAAACCCGGCCTGGATCGCCCGGCGATTCCGCCCGAGGGAGGGGCGGGCGCAGCCGCCGGAGCGCGCCGTTGCTGGGCAGCGAGAGCAAAGCTGGCAGCGCCAACGGTCAAGGTCAAGCCTGGCCGCCTGCTGGGCCTCGTTCCCCGGCGTCCCAGCGTTTTAAGGCAGGCGGAGCAATTGAGCTCCGCGTGGGCGCCCTCGGAAACACCAGGGCTGCCGGATTTCCTGGACCAGACCCCTCTGGCCGCGTCTCCACCCTGCGCATCCCGCAGCTTCAAACTCCCTCCCGAAAAGCTCGACCAACCCAGAGCTCTCAGAACAGGCCCGCCTGAGTAGACCCGGTGCAGCTGGACCTTAATAACCCCCCTAACATCTCAGCAGCATCTTTCCTGGGGAGCCAAGCGTCATCGGGGTTGTGCATAGCTGAACGTCCATCTCACCCGGGCTCAGGGCTAGCCCTCTGGGCGCGGAGGAAGTTCTGAGGGGTTCCACCAGAAGGCCTCTCCTTTACCTAACCCTCAGACCTTGAGTCTTTTACCCTGGGCGCCCTACCCACGTCTTTTTTCCTCATCCACTTCACACAGACGATCCCCATAGGTTATCCTCTCCTAGACCAAAGCCCTCTGGGATTTCACACCCAGGAAACAACAGTAACTTCATCTGAACCAGAGCCCTCTCTGGGGACCTAGTGCTCATCACGGTGGCGGGGGGGGGGGGGGGGGGGGGGGGGGGGGGGGGGCATAAATTAGGGCCATGCACACTCTAATTCTGGCTAGATTGCTCTCACAGAATTTTACGTGATTCATCTCATTTGTCCCCCTAGAAATCCTGTGAGAAAGGCCTTTTCTATTTTCACTTTACCAGTGAGGGTAACTTGAGGACAAGAAGGGTTAAGTAGCTTTTTTTGAGTCACACTGGTGACTGAGTGAAGATTCAGACTCTAGTCCTTACTCAAAGTGGCACTTTAACCATTAAGCAGTACTGCCACTGCTGCCTCTGGAAGTGAGGCACTGTGGGGGTAGGGCTGTCTCAGAACTCTGAGTGGAAACTCTGAGTCCCTGAGTGTCTTTTTACCTCTGAATCTGATAGGGGTGGTAATCATGCCTACCTTAGAAGACTGTTAGGAGCCTGTAAGTTTCTCTTATTAAAGTCCCTGTCCCCTGTCACAGGCTAAGCCTCAGTCTTTTCTTTTTTAAACTCACTATGTAGACCAGGCTGGCCTCAAACTCACAGAGATACACCTGTCTCTGCCTCGCTCCTGAGTGCTGGGATTAAGGTTGTGAGCAACCACACCTGGCGTTTTTCTTTTCATATATATATCTATCTATATAGATAGATATAGATAGATATAATATATTATCATATATAATATATTATATATATATTATGTGCATTGGTGTTTTGCCTGCATGTATGTCTGGGTGAGGGTATCCTGGAACTGGAGTTATAGACAGCTCTGGGCCACCATGTGGATGCTGGGAAACTGAACCTGGGTCCTCTGGAAGAGTAGTCAGTGCTCTTAACCACTGAACCATCTCCTTAGCCCCTGTTTCTTTTCTTTTTAAGGAGAAACTAAATTATTAATCTTTACTTCTTATTTTCAGAGTAATTTAGCTGAGTGTGGTGGTGCATGCCTGCAATTCCAACAAGAATAAGGATTGGGAGACGGGTCATTCCTGAGGCCGGGAGTGGACAAGTTTGTTGTCCTGCTGCCTTAGGACTCCATTTACAAAGCATTCCTTTGTGTTTGCTGTAATGATGGTCTTTCTACCAGTAAACTCCCTGGGGACATATTAAATTGGATTTACTTTACAAAAGGATGGGGGGTGGGTGTAAGAGCAGATTTGGAGTCCTAAATAGCAAGCTCTGGGCTGATTAAGTCTCCTGTAGAGGATCTGGTGGGTGGCCTGTGAGGATCCCCTCCTGCTACACTTCACTTTCTCAGATTCTGTGCTTCAGTCTCCACTGACCCCAGCTACTAAATGAATCTGTTTCTGTGAGACAGGCAAACCGAAGCAAATAACAAACCTGGTAAACAGCCTTGGAAAGCAGGACATGGTGACACAGCTTTGGAACCCCAAAACTCAAGTTCAGCTTGAGATATACAGCAGGACCCTGTCTTCAAAACCCCGAAACCAAACCAAACCAAACTCACTCAATTAAGAGATCATGCTATTATATAAATCCAAAGAGTCCTGGATTCTGGGTCTTGGGCTAGAAAGCCAGGAATTCAGCGTGCAGCACTCTGGAGTTAGACTGCCTGGTTATCCCTCCTTGTGTTATTGATATGCTGGACCGTAGTTTCCTTAATTGTAAAATGAAGATAACGCCTCTCAACACTCTAGAACTTGTGTGAGAAATTAGTGGATGTAGCAGAGCCAGGACAGTCTAGCATGCAGACACTCACCACACATGCATGTTAGCCATCATCAGTATTGTTTCTATTAGAAACATAGAGGCCTACAGAGAGGGATCTTCGGGTCTGAGAGGCTCAAGTTCAGGAACCAGACTGCCTGGATTTAAAGCCTAATTCTGCTGCCTACCATGACTGAAGTCACACCAACCTCTTCTGCCTTTTTCCTTAACTGTGAAATAGGTATTCATAGATAATCACAGCATTTTTATGACGTTAAACAAGCTAGTTCAAGGAAGTAGATTGCAACAGCATTTTACCAGTGATAAGGATCTGATAAACTCTATCTCTCTTTTAAACAGGATTGTGATGCAATCCTTCCAATGTTCAGAAGGCAGTGTGGAAGAGGATTGCTCCACACAAGCTGGAGCATGAAGCCTGGAATGGAAGAGCAGGTTCATGTGAAGCTCACTGGGGAGAGGGTTCCAGGGCTCTACCTTGTTATCAGGAAGTGAGCTATGGGGTCTGGCAATAGCACACCATTGTGGAAGCCTACAATGTAGAACCATTGTAGAACAGCATAGCTCTGCACCCACTTCCTTGCAGGGAGAGTTGACCTGCCCACAACACAATGGATCCTGGTAGCTCCTCAGAACAGGGGTCCTTCCTTAATTAACTGGTGACCTTGAGCCAAGTCCTGTGTTTCTTAGATGTCAACTGAGGAGTCAGGTAGTACCTTCCTAAACCCCCTTGGAGGTGGGGAGAGGCACAGCTGTCCAGGGATAGGAGTGTCCCCAAGGGAGGCCAGATGTGCATATTCCAGAGGGTTTTGAAATCTGTGTCCTGGAAGTTGGGGGAGCTCTTAACTGCTCTTGTCTCCTTCATTTCTATGAACTTTTCCAGAGGCTTTTCCAAAAGGAAAACACAGAAAGGGAGAGAAAAACAGCAGCAGGTCTTGCTGCAAGGAACAGCTATGGGTGTGTTGTTTATATATATATATATATAATTTATATATACAATGTGTATATGTTTATATATTACAGAGAGAGAGAGAGAGAGAGAGAGAATTATTTCCCTCCTTCCTTTCTTCCCTTCAAACCCTCCCATATATCCCCCTTGCTCTCTTTCAAATTCATGGCCCTATTTTTTTCTTTAATTGTTGTTACATACATACGTGTGTGTGTGTGTGTGTGTGTGTGTGTGTGTGTGTGTGTATTCCTAAATACATAAATACAACCTGCTCCATTTACATAATGTTATGTTTTATGTATGTATGTTTTATATGTGTTTTCAGGGCTAACCATTTGGTGTGCTGTGCCCTGGGAAAGACTATTTCTCCTATTGTCAACATTCCTTAGTTGCCTGTAGTTCTTTATCTAGAGTTGAAGCATTCTCCTTGGCATGTCCATTGGGTCATCCTTGTGGTTGTGGTTTTAAGGTGTGCTACTCCAAAATTGGTATGGTTGAAAACCTAATTAACAAGATATTAGAAGGTAGGGCTTTTCAGGGAAGTGCTAGGTTTTGAGGACTCTGTCCTCATGCATATTTATATTTTTTCAAGACAGGGTTTCTCTATTGTAGCCCTGGCTGTCCTAGAACTCACTCTGTAGACCAGGCTGGCCTCAAACTCACAGAGATCCGCCTGGCTCTGCGTGCGCCACCACGGCCCGGCTGCATATTTATATTTTAAAAGATTTGTTTTTATGCTTTTTATTTATTTATTTCTATGTGGGTCCCTGTAGAGGCCAAAAGAGGTTGCAAGATCCCTTGGAGCTAGAGTTCCAGGAGGTTGTGAGCCACCTGATGTGGGCACTGGGAACCTAACTCAGTGTGTACTCTGAACTGCTGAGCCATCTGTCCAGGCCCATCTACACTAATAACCTTATAAAGGAAATACTAGGATACAAAGAATGAGCTAACAAAGAGGGTACCAGGGCTGTGGTCTAACTCTAATAGAGCGCCTCCCTGGCACACAGAAGAAAGAAAGCTGCCCACCTTTGCCCTGGCACTCTTCTTCCCTGTGAAAACAGCATTTGCCTCCTCCGCCGTTTGAGGAGGCAGCAACAAATGCCGCCTATGGAACAAAACAAATCCCTCCTGAATGCCAGATCAAAAGATGCCTTGATCTAGACTTCCCACATTCCCAAACTGTAAGAATAAACTTTTCCTTCTTTGTAAACAACTCAGCCTCAGGCATTCTGTTAGAGTGGCACAAACACTAATACTGGAATGTCCAGCCCCACATGTAAAGTAGGACACACATGCAGAAGCACTATCATCCGTGAGGTGCTTACAACTCACAAGGCACTGTTGGGTCTTTGAACTCAGATGTCTGGGGCCTCCTACCACCCTTCTGAGTTTGGAGTTTGACTTTTGTGCTATAGTGACTGTGAAAATGACTCCAATAAAGCTGGGAGTGGTAGCTGCAATCCCAGCACCTGGGAGGTGTAGCCAAAGAGGCCCAGGAGTGCAAAATCATCCTGAACTACACAGTGATGGGCTATTATTATATAGCCCAGGCTGGTCCTAAACTCATGATCCCCCTGCCTATGCCTCCCAAGTGGTAAGAGTACCCTGCTTGCTGCCATAAGAACAAGCCCAGCCGGGCGGTGGTGGTGCACGCCTTTAATCCCAGCACTCGGGAGACAGAGGCAGGTGGATCTTTGTGAGTTCGAGGCCAGCCTGGTCTACGGAGTGAGATCCAGAAAAGGCGCAAAGCTACACAGAGAAACCCTGTCTCGAAAAACAAAAACAAAACAAAAAAAGGACAAGCCCAATCTAGTCTGCCAGAGAGTGAGAGGGTTCAGCAGAGCCAGAGCCCCAGTTATACCTGCTCAGGCTCTAACACAGACAGACCAGCCAAGCAGAACCACAGACACACGGGTGAGTCTTGGCAAGCCCACATGTGCTAGCAGAACCTCCAACCACCAGCTAACCCACAGACACAGACAACAGAAATGTTTGTTACACAACACTAGCTTAACTGGACATGGCGACCCACACCTGTACTCCCAGTGATGCTCACGAGGTTGAGAGCAGAAGATCACAAGTT